TCTCGGCCACCACAAAAATCATTGGGCGTGGTTTTGTCTTTTTTGTTCTTATTTAAGGCATTTTTGTCGCATGCATGGCACCCACACCAAAATAGGAACAAAAGCGTACAAATACAACAAGCTGCGCCCCCCGCAACAACTTTGACGGCCGCCGCAGGTATGTTGCTGGAAGTGAAGGGCACAGGCTGGCGGGAAAGTGGCTAGCTGGAGGATATCGGGGAGTATTGTTTGCCCTCACAGGGGACCTGGATTATTACAATAAAATATTGGGCCTTCCAAACTACTCCTCTGCGGCAGGCGTGCTCGCATTGTCAATGCAAAAAGGCGGGCGATGACACATGGACAGATTTTCGGGCAACTGCAAGCTGGCGAGCCACCAAGTGGACTCCTAGCGCGTGGCGTGCTTGGGAAGAGCATTCTCGATGCCCGCTGCTGTCCCTTCCAGGTGCCTCTTGCTGGACAGTCGCCTACGATTGGACGCACGTCAAATACCTAGGCACTGACATGTATCAATACGGATCTGTCTTAGCTTTTCTGTGCCATACGGTCATGGCGAACGAGCCCGAAGAGAATCTCTCACAGTGCTGGACGTTCTTGAAACAGTTTTTCAAGGGCCATGGCACCCCATCGCCTGTTCGATATTTGAACCGTCTCTCTATGTTTGTGAGGCAAGGCGGCCGCTTCCCCAAATTGCGGGGCAAAGCTGCCGAGGTCAGGCACTTCGGGGCAGCTTTGCACGCTTTATGGAATGCTCACATGAACCCTCATTTGATTCTTCATCGCCGGATCAACTTGATGTTGCAGTTAAACTGCCAGCTGGAGAACATGATCACAGAGTACAAAGACGACTTCGCGTTCCCCCCTGGGCCTGCTGAGGACTTCGAAAACACATGCACGACAATGCTCCAATTGCAAACCCAAGTTGCTGAACATTTCTTGGAAGAAGGTATTGCCTATTTCGACGTGACTTCGAAATGTCACATGCTGCAAGAGCTCGCCATCCTGGCTCGTCACATCAACCCTCGGCTCATTTGGGTGTTTTGCGGGGAAGACATGATGCAAAAGATGCAACAAGTGGCGCAGAGCTGCACCAGGGGCAACACCCCGGGCCAAACCAATTTGAAAATGGCCCGCCACTACCGCCTCGGATTGCATTTCTTGTTCAAGAAACGTCACGGATGAAGGCGTTGCTCTCTGTCTTTCTCACACCCCAAAGCACTTTGCGCTCGCGTACTGTGTGTGCAAAAAAAGGCGCGCCGTCAAGCTGTCTTTCATGCAACAGACAAGAAAACACGAGGAGCCCGCCAAAGGGGTCATCGCAAATACTTTTCGCAGAAGATCTAAGAGGTTTTTTTTAGGGGATCACCTTGAGAGACACACCTTGAGAGATGCATCTTGAAGGGTTTGCTTCGAGAGAGGCGCCTTTGTTAAGAATGCGAGACGAAAATCTCATGGTCTAGCGCTGCCGAAACGGCGCATGGGAGTTATACCCTCACCCGAGTGTATCTGCGCGCAAATGCGCTCACATGAAAATATTGTCACATGAACGGGGGGGAACAAGATTTGTGTGTAAGAGTGAGAGAGCTTGCGCACAGCGAAAGGCCACAGCAGCGCACGCATGCGCGCGCGCTGTGAAGGGCTGTCAAACATGAGGGGTCGCAGTTTGGTCGCAGTTTGGTCGTCAAACATGAGGGGTCGCAGTTTGGTCGCAGTTTGGTCGCAGTTTGGTAGAAATTTGTCCCCGGCACATTCTAACTAATAGTTAGAAAATAGTCTAAACTATTAGTTAGAAAATCGTGTGTGTTTTTGGAGCCAAAAAAATAGACTATTAGTTAGAATCGCGCCGGGCCAAATAGTCTAAATATACTATTTTTTCGGCGCAACAACGAGACTAAATAGTTAAAAAAAATAAACTATTTTCCACCACAAAAAAATCTACCTAATTTATAGAATTAGATCTAATTCTATAAATTAGGTAATTCCTAGTTTTCTGACTAATCTGGTCTATTGGGTGGCTGCGGCTGCGGCCCTGGGCGGGCAACACGTTCTGGCGGACGTACTCGGCAGCGTTCTGCAAGAGCTGGGAGCGGAAGGCCTGCACCGCCGCGAGCCCTGCTGCTCCTGCGCCCACCTGCTGCCTGCGCTCCGTCGGCCGCGCTGCGCGGACGGCCCGTAATGGAGGGCGGGCCCTGTCCGTTGTTTGTCAGCGCGTCGGCCTCGGGGTCTCCAGCCAGGTCGTCCTCGACGAAGCGGGTTCCTCCGTAGCCCTGGTACATCCGGGCAAGTCGCACGTCCTCGTCCGTGGCCTCAGCGGGAGTGCGGAAGCCTTCCTCTGGAATCGCCCTCAGGGGAGTGTGCTGCAGAGGCTGCGGGTTGGGGTCCTCGCTGGACTGCACGAAGTCGTCCAGGTAGAAGTGGCTCGTGATGAACGTGGTGGCCTTGCGGTCCGGCTGGTCCAGGGGCAGCGGCTCATTCCGCTCCAGGTAGCCCACAACCTGCTCGAAGCGCGGGCGCTGATTGAAGCCGTGGGACCAGCGTCTTCATTTTACTGTTGCGCAACTTCGCCCGCTGCGCGTTCCACGCCCCTGCGCTCGGCGCGCGCGTAGCGCAGCTGGGGTACCTGGCGGTGCACTGCCTCCGTCAGCCGGCTCACGTCGTCCAGGTGCCGCTGCCCCTCTTGGGCTAGCCGGCGTTCCCCTAGCCAGGCGTTGAAGGCCCGCGCCTCCTCCAGCTCTCGCTGGCGCTTCAGCAGCAGCGGCTGCAGGTCGTAACTCGGATAAGTCTTGCGGAACCACCGGAGCATCTGCGGCTCGTTGCGAGGCTCTATGGACATCATGCTTTTCATACCAGTACGCTTGCGCCCGCCGTCAGCCGGTCGTAGGCCGACTGCCTCTCCAGCATGCGCATGGCGCGCTCACTCGGCCGAGGCGCTTCTTCGGGCTCGGGCCGTACCTTGCTGTGTACCTCGGGCTCGGGCTCGGGCTGTACCTCGGGCTGCACCTCGGGCTCTAGCTGTGGCTCAGTCTTGGGCGCTGCCTTGGGCTTGGGTGCTGCCTTGGGCTTGGGAGCTGGTGCGGCAACTGCCTTGGGCGCAGCCTTGGGTGCTGCCTTGGGTGCTGCCTTGGCCGCGGGTGCTGCCTTGGGTGCTGCCTTGGGCGCCGTCTTGGGCTTTGTGGGAAATCTCACCCTCTTGGGCCGGAAGGGGGAATCGATTTCGTACGCAGGCTCCGTGGGCAGGTCGGCGATCATTTTTTTGCTCTTCGGCAGGGGCAGCTCTGGCGGCTTGGGCCTGTTCTTACTTCCCGGAGGTCTGCCTCTAGGCCTTGGCGCCGGTTGCGCTTGCTTCATCGGTTTTTTAATAGAAAATATTTTTTTAAAAGACCTTCGGAGGATTAGATGTGATCCAAAAACAGCACAAAGGACAAGGACGAGCCCCTCAGTCGGACAACTTGCCCTCCCAGGTCTGTCAGCCGGAAGCGCAGGTGTCTCAGGGTGATGGGGCCCCTGACGGCCATGAAGCGCCCGTCATCGGAGCCGGTCTCCACTATGGTGCCCACGCCGCTCTTCAGCGTTATCTTGGACAGGATGTCGTCCCCCAGATTGCCCAACACGCGGCTGGCGTTGGCCAGCTGGGGGCAGCGTAGGTAGACCTCGATGTAGCAATTCATGCGTACGAACTCGAAGACCTGCTGCCCGCCGGAGACGAAGCTGGGGCCTAGCATGTGGTTGATGCTGAAGGGCTTGCTCGGAGAGGCGTCCGGTGAGGTGGGGTAGTCCACGGCGTCTGGGAACTGCTGCTGCAGCTCCAGATCGTTCAGAATGAGGCGGTTGCCGTCGTAGGCTACGCTGAGGCTGTTCGTGGGCGGCCAGCCGGGAGCCCGTGTAGGCGCCTTCCGGAAGGAGCGCCCATGGAGCCAGTAGAGGTACCGGCCCCGGTCTGTCGACAAAAAGCTGTCCGCGATCTTATAGACAGCCAGCCTGGCGTCGCTCTGCAGGTGCAGAGACTCTCCCAGGTCTACCTCAAAGTCGCTGTCCGAGCCGGCTACCCTCTTGCGGCTGTCCACGTAGATAGTCGTCATGCCTTTTCTAAGGAAGCCACCAGTCCGTCGGACGATGGGCGACTGGATGGCTGCAACGGAGGTGCAGCAGGAAACGTTCTCGCATCTCGTGCTAATGAGTGTGGAACTGGCGAACAGCTTCTGCCCCAGGAAGCTGAGCGCCGCCCCCATCGGCTTCTTTCTCCAGAGCGAAACGCTCTTCGAAGCGCAAGTAGAACATCTCATTCTTTGGCTTGAGGTAGTGCGCGAAGAGGAAGCTGTAGGGGTCCCGAGTCGCCTGCTCGTAGATCCTGTGCAGCTTGTCCTTCGGCAGCAGGGCGCTCAGCTCTTCGATGACGGCCTCCAGCTCGTGCTGGTTGCGCAGCCTCCAGCAGCAGAGAAATTGCATGTTCACCCGCACGGCTGCGCTGATAAGCCTCAGCTTCTGGGAACTCACCCAGGTGCTGATCTGCATGCGCCTGCCTCTGACGAAGAGTGTATCCAGGGCGCCGTGGGCCTTGTGCAGCTGCGGGGTGTCGGCGAAGTCGTCGATGACTACAAGCACCTGGTAGAGTTTCTTCATTTCCAACTTCTTGGACGTCTCGGTGATCTTACGCTGCCTCTGGATGATGCCCCGCAGCGCAGCCTCGTCCCACTCGTCCCAGTAGGCCTGTTCTTTCTCCGTGTTCACCCCAAGGTCCTGCTCGATGTACTTCTTGACGGGGATCCAGCCGTCGTCGATGTTGACACTTGGGCTGAAGATGTAGATTTTCTCGAAGACGCCTCGATACTGCTCCAGGATGAGGCTGATCAGCGCCACGGTTTTGCCGGACTTGCTGGGGCCGAGGAAAATGCCCGTGCATGGCACCAGGGGCACCACGGGGTCCGAGGTCTCCTCGTAGAGGGCCTTGATGTCGACCTGACAGCTCACTGCTGAGGAAAAAAAAGGGGGACACCGCGCTCCTTGTACCCCTCGGTCCACTTCTGCTCCGCCTCGAGCTTCGTGAAGAGCCGCAGACACTCCTTCTCCTGTCAGCCACAACGATCCGCCAGCCGGCGAAAAAAAACGAGCCTTCTCCACGAGCTTCGCCGCCGCGTCCGCGTGCTCCGCGAGCTGGCCGCGGAGGCTCTGGATGGTCGCGTCCTGCAAATGTGATCTTCATCCGTTTACCGTTGAAACTGCACCCGCCTTGACTGCCAGCTCGCGGCGCATCGCGTCCTGTCGACAAAAAAGGATAGCCCACAGCCCTCTCACGATACGACGAGCCTTCTCGTCGTTGAACGCCTTCTCCCTGCGAAGCTTGGACGGCGGCTTCCGCGCCGCCGTCCAAGCTCCTGGCAGAGGCATTGTCAAAAAAAATAAAGGAAAAAGGGAAGACGCGCCTGCCAGCCGGAGGATCCTCCGCCACCTGCGCCCCAATCACCAGACCAACCTGGCAACGAGCAACTTTCGGACACGACGGAACGGCGAAAGTCCTCGGTGCCTGCGCTCCAATCCTCACCAAACCAACCTGGCAGCGAGCAACTTTCGGACACGACGGAACGGCGAAAAAAAGTCCTCGGTGCCTGCGCCCCCTACGTCAGGACGCCATGCCCCCCAAGTCTCGTCCTGGGCAAGAGGAAGAAAAGCAGATACCTAAAAAAAAGAAGAGGCGAAGGCCTCCGCACCATGATCTCCCATCGCGGAGCGCTCCCGAGGTCGAGGAGCCGAGGGGTTCCCGATGCTGCTGATGCTGTCTGATCCGGGCCGAGGGGTTGCCGAGCCGAGGAGTTGCCGAGCCGAGGGGTCGGCGTTGTCTTGGAGGACCCTGAACTCTGTGGCCGGCTGCTTCTCCACGTCCTCGGGCGCGCCGTGCACCGTCTCGTGGGGCCGCGCGTTGTATAGGCCCCGGCCGCCCGCTCGAAGTGGTCGCTCCACTGCCCGCCCTTGCGCGCCACCCTCGTGGCCAGGTCCTTCTTCAGCGTCTGGATGCCCCGGTCCACCACGGCAGTCCTCGGGCCGCTTCGTGCGGTGCACGGCTTCGGGCAGCTCCCAGTCCAGCGTGGCGAACTCGTTGCCCAGGTCTGTCGTGACCACAAAGTTCCCGTCGTCCCCCGTCAGCTCTTGGTGGCCCGGCCCACCGTCTCGGCGTTCTTGTTCCACGGCGGCCTCCCGGGTGAAGACGTCCATCACCACCAGGCCGTACTTCGTCTTCCCCCGGGTGTTCTGGCTGAAGTCGATGAGGTCACCCCTCGGCGGCCGGCACCTGCCGGCCCACGTCGGCCTTCAGCGCCTCGAAGGCCATGGCCTGCGTGGAGTCGCGCGATCGTCCCGAGTCGCGCTGCTTCGCAAGTTCGGTACAGCTTTTCCGCGGTCCCCACGTTTGAAAGTCGGCCTGGAAAATGTGCCTGCTGCTTTCCCTTTTAACGTGGTCTTCGGCCCCCGCTGGGCCTGCCAGGCTTCCAACTCGTCCAGCCGGGCCTGGAAGCCCTTCCCCGTGGACACGTCGCCCACCGTGGTGAAGTTCCCGGCGTTGGCCGTGTTGTTGATGGTCAACGTGCTGCCAGTGATTCCGGTGGCGGAGCTCAGCAGGCCCACGCTGGCCGCCCCCGTGATGCTCAGCGAGCTGCCTGACACGGCCCCTGTGGACGTCAGCGTGGCCCCGGCGACGGTGCCTGTGGCTGTGAGCGCTGCGCAGGAGACTGCGCCCGAGGCGTCCACGCCCGTCGTGAAAACGTCGGTGCAGTTCACGTCGTTGCACAGCAGCTGGTCGCAGCCCACGTTGCCCTGCGCGGTGAGTCCGTTACTGAAACAGACTCTCCCTCGAAGGCTGAGGCCCGCATGCTGTACAGGTCCAGCGTGCCCGCCGACTGCTGCACCAGCCCGGGGATCGAGCCTCCGAAGGCTCCGAAGTGCAGCTTTGCGACTCCGCCCAGCGGCACCGAGAAGTCCAGGCGCGCCGTGCTCCAGACACCCTGCGAGGGCGTGCCGAGGAAGGTGCCGGTGACGCCCACGTAGTCGTCGGCCGCGCTGACGTACATCACCAAGTTGGAGGCCGTGCCCAGCCGGTACTGGCAGCCGAAGGAGTAGCGTCTCCCCGGCGTCAGCGTGTAGTGCGCACGAATGTTCCGGCGAAGGCGCTCAGGTCATGGCGTAGCCCCTCCAGCTGGAAGCCACCCACAAAAGAACAAAACAAGGCCAAAACACAAAAAAAAAAATACCATAAAATCATAAAGCGAGTGAAGCTGGCGAGCCACGAAACATAAAAGCCTCTCTGTTGGAGCGCACCAAAAAATTTCCTAATGTGGTGAGCGTGGGCTCCAGCAGCACCTCTCCCAGGGTGGCCAGCGTGACGTCGTCGGCCCCTCCGTCGAGGAACTCGTGCTTCAGCAGCAGTGCCGAGGCCGCCGTGTCCTCCTCCTCCGTGTTGCCGGTCTCCAGGGTTGCGTCCAGAATCTGGAGGCCGTAGACGTCCACCGTTCCTGCCGTCTGGTTGGGCAGGCCCGGCGCCTGGAAGTGCGCCCCAAAGTGCAGCTTCGCAACTCCGTTCGGAGGCACGGTGAAGTACATCTTGGCCGTGCTCCAGGCGCCCTGGTCACCCACGAAGCTGCCGTACAAGGGGTCGTAGACGTTGTCGGCCTCGGACATGTACACCACGAAGTTGGAGGCCGTGCCGAGCCGGTATATACCGGCAGGCGAAGAGGAGCTCTCGGCCGGGCGTCAGGTTGTAGGTGCGCACAATGTTCCACGGGTTCGCTGCCAGGGTCAGGGTGTAGCCGTCCACGCTCGCTGCGCCCGCGGTGTGCGTGGCCAGGACCACGCTGCAGCCGCTGCTGGGGCGAACCGTCCAGTTTGACAGCGAGACGTCCGTGGGGCCCAGGATCTGCTCTCCTATGGCGGCCACCACCTCGTCGGCCCCTCCGTCGTCCGGAAAGCGCACTGCTATCTGCAGCGCCGAGGCTGCCTCCGTGACTCCAAGCTTGCCCGCAAGGAGGCCGTCCACCTGCGTGATGGTGTAGTAGCTGAGCAGCGCGGCTGCGATGCTCGAGGCCGTTGCCGTGTCCTGGTCGGCGGTACGCCACCAGCGCCGAGGTGATTTGGTTGGTTGTGAACACGTCCTGGTCCGGCGGCGGCGAGCTTCGCAGCCACCGGGGCGCTCACGGGCGCCACGCTGACAGTCAGCGGGGCGGCCTCCGCGGGCCCGCTGGGTCCGCGCCGCAGCTCTTCGCCTCCAACACGCTCACCGTGACCAACACCTCCGACTTCTCGGACGATCTCTTCCTGACGAAGAACTGGGCGGGCTGGAGCAAGCTGCAAGTGTCCAACAACAGCGCGGCCCCCGACAGCGGCCCGGAGCTGCGGCTGCTGGGCAACCAGAGCGCCAGGGTCTTCCTGGAGCGGGACGGTGGGACGCACCAGTGCGAGCTCATCATGATCAACGACGAGGCGTGCAGACGAAGAGCCTCTCGACGCAGCTGTCCTTGACCACGAACCAGAAAAACCCCGGCTGCCTCGTGATCGCGGGCAACACGGGCAACGTGGTCTGCAACACGAGCTTCACGAATTTGTCGGACAGCAGGGTGAAGACGGAGATGGCCGAGGCCGACGTGGCAGAGCTCCAGCAGCTGTTCGACTCCGTGGAGGCCAAGCAGTACAAGCGCCCGGACATGAACGAGGACCTGAGGCTGGGCTTCGCCTCGGACGACTTCGCAGGAACAAAGTGGAAGAACCTGACGGGCACCGCCCGGTGGAGCGACGGCACGGAGATGATCACGCTGGACTACTCGCACCTCACCAGCGGGGCCCGTCCGGTAGGCCAGCAGCGCGCCCGTGATGGCCGCCTGCGTCTGCGTGTCCTGCGCGCTTGCCGCGCGGTAGTCTCCCAACAGCGCGTCTACTTGTGAGGAGGTGTAGTAGGCCAGCAGCGCGGCCGTGATGGCGCTGGTCGTCTCCGCGTCCTGCGCCGTTCCGGTTCGGTAGACTCCCAACAGAGTGTCCACTTGTGAGGAGGTGTAGTAGGCCAGCAGCGCAGCCGCGAGGGCCGCGTCCGCCGCTGCGACGGAGTAGCAGTCTGCCGTGATGCTCAGCGTGTCGTCGCCGTTGGCCAGCGCAGCAGAGAGAGGAGCCTCCAGATGCAGGTTGCGAACGACGTTGCTTCCGCGAAGGAGCTCCCAAGTTGTGAAGCCCGCCCAGGCCGCTCCGCTGCCGGAAAGCTGCAGGGCGGCGAGCTCCGCGAGGATTGCGTCGAGGGCGCTCTGGGCGCGGTCTCGCTGGCTGAGAGCGCGGCGTTCGTGGCGTACGAGGCCAGCAGCGACGTGTCGGCCTTGCCCCCCTGGAGCGCCGTGATGCTGGCGTCCCGGCTAGCAAGCTGATGCTGCTTCCGTGCGCGGCCACCTGCCCGTCCGTGGTGGCCAGGGCCGCCGCCGTGGCCAGGGGCGCGCCAGCGCGCTGCTGTCCAGCTTTGAGGCCAGCTCTGCGGTGACTCTGTCGCGTTGTTGCCGGACGCTGCAGTGTTTACCGCCAGGTGTTACTTGAGCGTAGGGCGTCAAAGCGAGGGCCAGCTGCCCTGCGGTGACGTGCGTGCCGTCAGTTACCTCTCCGTTCCAGGACCTCCGGGATGTTGCCCGTGACAGGTCCTTCAAACATGTTTACATATGTTTTCGCCGCCTTAGTCCAGTGGCTAAGGCGTCGGCCAAGGAGCTAAGCGCTTGTTGGTACGTCAAACGTACCAACCCCTCACAGGTCCTTCGTGGTCCGAGAACGCCGGGGCGCACCCGGCGGGGGCCACGCTGAGCGCCGACTTTGAGAACGTCCGAGTTCTGGCCTCACAGGTCGTCCTGGACTCAGCGCTGGGCTGCAGCTGTGGGGCAACCCGCTCCTGCTAAGAGTGACGCGGGAGATAGATGGGTGCCGCGTCAGCTGCAAGTCCTGCCCAAAGTGCGGAGGCGCAGTCTTCGGGCAGTGGCGCTATGCCACGTGGGGCGGCTTATTGGCCGCCGTCGGAGCGCATGCCTGCTAGGAAAAAATGAGCTCGTCATTAAAAAATCTTATAAGAAATGCCCCTCGCTTCAGTCCGGGATGCTCAGCCGATCCGCAAGCTCTGCCGTGGCCGCGCTCGCAATCTCCTCGCACAGCGCCGTAGGAATGCTGTAAAGCAGCTCGCGCGACTGCCCCCTGACCCTCTCGCGCTGACCCCCCATGAGTCGAGGCCCCCCTTGAGCGCCCCTCAGATGCCTCCCGTCCTCCCACGCGTCGCACCGGCTGCCGCTCCTGCACCCCCTCGGCTCGGTCTCCAGCGCATGTTGGTCCCCTGTACGGAGTCCCGTACTTGCAGTAGGTAACGTCCACCCAGGGTAGGCGCTCCATGAACGGGCGGGTCTTCAGCAGCCCGGTGGCCGGATTCTCTATGACCCACACGAGCGGGTCGAAGTGCTCGGCTCTGAGCACCAGCGC